ATGATCCGAACAACTTCTGATCTTGAAACTAACATTGTGGCTATTGAAAGAATAAAAGAGTATTCAGAAACTGAAACAGAGGTCAGCTACTGGAAGTCAAGCATATTCACTAACCTGTGTGGTGGAATTTTAGCCTGCATATTGACCTGGTCTTTCTGTAGAGTCTGGAGAGACGGTTCCTGCCCTGAGAGAGTTACCATTTAGCCTGAACAAATGTCACGCTCTGAACTGTAATGTTACCACAGCTCCAAATCAGTACTGCTGTTACGCAGTCTGTGCTTAGCATCTCATTTTCTGCTGGTGTGAGTGGTTATAGCACAGCAGAGATGAATTCACCATCAGATATATTGCTCCCACTGGGTCTGAAATGTTCAATGCTGTGTCCTACCTGCATGGATGGTGTCATCCTGCTGCTGAGCATAGCTGCACTGCAGTTTTTGGGATATGCACACATTTTCTATAGTATTTATGTTTAATTGGCTTAATCAGATCTCCTCTCCCACAAGACAACATCATCTCAAGTAACACTGCATTGCTGAAACCAGAAAAATCATCCAACCACTTTCCTTTGTTGCCAAATACTCCTGAAGGTGGCAGATGGAGTTGTGCTGAGAAATCTGCTGCTCCGTGGACCTGCTGGGTTTTGGTAGCCCTGTGCATGTGGGAGACTAAGAGCTGAGAAATGGAGGATCTGAGGAAAGCTGGGTGTGCATTTCTAGAGATAAAATATTTGATCTTGAATTAGAAAAGAAGCTAAGGCAAGATTCACAATATGTGTGAGCTGGAACTTGAGTTGGCATGAGACAGGCAGTGATCTACAGAAGTTAATGGAAAAAATATAAATTAAGATCAGTTGAGGATTTGACTCTATATGCTGAGATTTTTTTTCCTACAAACTTCTCAACCATGACCAAACAGCATAGGAACCTGTTTTTCCTCTATTGCCACGATTTTGTTAATGGAAATCTGACTTACCAGGAATTTTTTTGTAGCCCACCAATGTTGATGTTTGCATCAGAGTCTGAATTTAATCTTTTTTAAACCCATGAGGCGTTTCTGTTTCCCTCAGGCTCCCTGGATAATCGAGGATAAGAGACCCCCAGCAGACTGGCCGTCCAGGGGGGAGCTGGAGTTCATCAATTACTCGGTGCGGTACAGGAAGGGCCTCGATCTGGTGCTGAAGGATCTGAACCTCCGAGTGCACGGTGGAGAGAAGGTGGGTACCCAGCCCTGGGGCTCTGCTGTGGCTTTGGGCCACAACCATGGCAGCATCCTCCAGGCAGGAAGACACAACCTCTTTCTGCACTTTCCAAGTTAGCATCAAACTGCCGTGTGGGAGGCACCAGGGTTTGCAAGTGACAGAAGGAATTCCAACTTTTTCCACGATCTGGCTTTGCCTGTTGAAATCTTTAGGATGGGTGAAAATGATATTCTTTGCTTTCTTAATTGGAAAATTGTTCTGGGAGATTCTCTTCTTCGCGCTTGAATTGAAAGTAGTGGACTGTACACGCTGTTGGCAGAAGAATTAGTGTGAGAAAGTCCTGCAGCTAACATGCTGTTATTAGAAGAATCCCAGAATGGTTGAGCTTGGACAGATGGATGTCCTCTGCTCTAACAGGCACCTTTTGTTACTGTATTGTTATCCTGGGCAGATATTATGACAGTTGCTTTCTGGAGGTCAGATGTGTGCTTATCATAAGGTCTTAATTGCCCTCTGGAGAGTCTGATTTCTTGTCCTTGGGTGGTAACTCTGACAAGGGTACTTCCTAACATGGGTGCTTCAGCTGACCCCCTGCTCTACGTGGCACTAAGACGTTGTAAAGAAGTATATGTAATGCCATTCCAGTTATGGCAGTGGTGATGCACACTTTGTAACGTGTGATTTCTGGTTGCATTCTTCTTTGTATTCAGAGAAATCCTGATGCATTGATTGCTTTTGTTAGCAGTGTTTTTTGTTTTTAACCATGTGCTTTGTTGCTAATCCTCCAATTTGTTGTAGATTGGGATTGTTGGCCGAACTGGAGCAGGGAAGTCTTCCATGACCCTCTGTCTCTTTAGGATCCTGGAAGCTGTAAAAGGGGAAATTATAATTGATGGTGTGAGGATTTCAGAGATCGGCCTCCATGACCTTCGATCAAGGCTGACAATTATTCCTCAGGTATTGTTTCTGTGTATCATGGTTTAGCAAACCACAGAGAATAGTTCAGATTGGTCCGGTCCTGCCACCTCGCAAACTGATGGGTGATAAAACAGAGTTTGTGATGAAGTATCTTTAGAGTTGTTTCACTAAAGTGGATGCTTCACTGTGTGTAATGCAATGTATTTTCAAGGTGGTTGGGATCAGGAGATGGCTTAACTTCAGTGTGATGGACACTTGAAAACAGCTTTATGTACTAATGTCTGTGCTTGAAACAGCTAATGGACTTGTCTAATGAAAGGTGGTTGTCTGTCCAGGATCCTGTTCTCTTTTCTGGAACACTGAGGATGAACCTGGATCCATTTAATAAATATTCAGATGAAGAAGTCTGGAAAGCTCTTGAACTGTCTCACTTGAAGAGGTTTGTCAGCAGTCAGCCAGCCATGTTGGAATTTGAGTGCTCAGAAGGTGGAGAAAACCTTAGGTAAGGAAAGTTTGCATTAGAAACATACTGTGAGTTTTCACTCAGCCCTAACAGCAATAACAGCTTAACACTGTTTGTTGTTAGTTTGTTGTGTGCAGTGGTATGTAGCCCCCTATTTCTGATGTAAGCAAGGCTCAAACATTGAGTTGCTGTTCTGTCACTTCTGGAAAGATCCAGTTCTCTTTTGCTGCTGGGAAGGATTTCTGCCAAACCAAACTCCTGTCTTATCGGTATAGGAAGAAGGTTTGGGATGACAGTGACACTTAAACATTTGGTGGAATTGATAGGAAGGGAAATGCTGTGGTGATGTGTAACTGTTGTGCTGGGTGAGAATCCTCTGCCTGAAGTGATGTCAGCAATGGTTGCTTGTTGCTAGTTAGGAAGAGCTTGAAGAAGGACGTGAATGAGATGGCAAAGCATCATGCTTTTGCTCTATTGCTTCTGAGAGCACGGTGTAAGCGGATGATTGTTTGATGATGTTCATCCTCTTGTCCCACAGAGACGCCCAAAGGCCGTGTCTGGGGCAGTGTGGGCCACCCACTTATTTTATTTGGTGGTAGAAAGGATGTGCGGCCTCAGAACTTTTGGATTTTATTTTTGGAAGTCTGTGTATGCTCAGTGTTGATCCAGCTGTGTGTGCTCCTGAGGACTGGGGCAGAAGCACTGTGATTATTGGTTTTTGACGTAGTGGCAGAAAGGGGGGACGTTTAGTGGCTCTGCCGAGGCGCTAAGTGAAGGCACACTGCAAGTTGCTGAGTAGTGCTGCAGCGAGCATTTCTTTGCTCCTGGGCTGACACGCTGCTTGCTAAATACCTGTTCTGTTTTTTGGTTGGGTTACTTTATCCATTGAGAACAAATGATTCTGAGCCATGGGAGCTGCAGGGCAGCACAGCCTCTGAGGAAGCCTTGTCTCTGCCTGCAGTGTTGGCCAGAGGCAGCTCGTCTGTCTGGCAAGGGCGCTGCTCCGCAAGACGAGAATCTTAATCCTGGATGAAGCAACAGCAGCTATCGACCTGGAGACGGACGACCTGATCCAGATGACAATCAGGACTCAGTTTGAAGACTGCACGGTGCTGACAATAGCGCACAGGCTGAACACCATTATGGATTACACAAGGTAGGACTCGTGGTGGTGCAGCCTGCATGCTGGGTATGGGAAGCAGCACTTGGAGACAAACCAGCCCTCCAGAGAGTCACAGTGATGCTCTGGTCCAGCAGTCCATGAGCAGTGATGTCTAAGTGATGTCTAATTTCTCTGATCTATCTTCTGCCCCTTTTGTTCTGCACAGGATTCTTGTGCTGGACAACGGAGCCATCGCAGAATTTGATACACCTGCAAACCTTATAGCATCAAAGGGGATTTTCTACGGTATGGCTAAAGATGCTGGGCTGGCATGAGAAGAAGACCCCGTCCTGAGGGCACTTTGGTTTTGGTTTGTTGTTGTTTTTAATGTTACTGACTTGCCACAAAAGTGACTTCTGAATGTACTGTAACTCACATCAGTTCTTGTAGGTGATTAAACTTGTGATAAGTGAACTGAGCATTTTACAATGGTAAGGACCAGAAAGTTAATTTTATATTTTTTAAATATTTTCTATAAAGTATTTTGTTAAATGTTTTTTTTTTCTCCAAAGAATGCCAAGAAAATGTATGTGTCACAAGGCAACATGTACTGCACTTCGTTTATGATTAGTAAAATTATATTCATGGTACAAAATACAGCTGCTTTGTGTCTTCTGGATAGAGACCCATTGGTTCTGAGGTGGAAGGAAGGGCCTGCTTAGGCAGCAGCTCAGCTTGGAAACATGGTGATAGAATGCTGAGTTTCAGAGTGGTCGGATGTGTACCTGGCAGTATTTCCCCAGGATGAGTTGGTGTCCCCTGCATAGGGAAACTTCAGAATTATAAAGTTCCTCTTCTGCTGCAGAGCTAGGAATAATTTGTACGTAAACCTAAACACATGGCTTAATGTGAGCAATGAATTGCAATTCCTGCTTGCGTAGCAGATGCCCACGTAAGCCTGCAGGGACACGATGGCACACAGTTACTTTGTTCTATGTCCCTCCTGTATGAAGTTGTCCTGAGTAAGCTGCTGTTCCAGCTGCAAGCACGCGCTGCGGGGATCATGGTCACAGAATCACAGATTGGGGATGAGGATGAGAGCGTTACTTCTCTCCCTGAATGCTTATCTCCTGAAATACAGATGACGTTATTGCCTTATTGCTGATGCTGATAGTTGGGCCCTCTCAGATGAAGGGCAGCGCTGCATTATAAGCAGCATTTGCTGCTGGGATCTCACAGCATGGCCTCTATGCTATGGCAAAATGCCATGTGAGAAAAGGGTGCAATGTTTCTCTGTAAGAGAAGTTCTGAGGAACTTTGAGAAGACAAAAATAACCGTTTATTAATTGTTACAAATGATACTTCTGAAATCGAAACAGGAATCTGCAGCCAAGCATTCGTTTGAAATTAACATTTCACACAGCAATGCAGAGAGTAACAACTTATTTATCATACACACAATGTCACGGTTGTAAATGGTCAGATGAAGTCGAGAGTTACAATATCTTCTATGCATGAACTGCACGCTGTATAAAAATATTCTCTGAATGCATAGTTATCTCCACGCGGCCCCAGCCCTGCAGCTGGGCTTCACTCCAGGAGCTCCGGCTGCTCACCTGCACAGTCTGTGCCCCGATCTGCTGAGCTGCCACGTGGAGAGCCCGTACCAAACCACATCTGTTGTGCAGGGCTGGAAGGGCTCCAGCACGGCTGGGAGCTGTGCCTCCTCCTGTCCCCATCTCGCAGAGGGAGGCGAACAACAGACTGCAGCCAGAGGAAGCATCTCAGGTGGGAAGAGTGGTGAGGAAGTCCGGGATGCACTTTGCACCTCGGCTCCTCCCGCTGGTTTGGGCGATTCCGTGCCAGCGCACGGCTGCTGTCAGCCCCAGGGCTGTGTGCAGTCACAGCTATGGCGGGCTGCCACCTCCGGATGCAGGAAGGTGAGGTGCTGTGGGTGCTGCAGTTCCCGAGGAGAACGGGACAGGGAACAAAGCAGCAGTGGGAAGCGCAGTCCGGCTGCGTACGTTGTTTGCCTGCTACATTGCTGCTTCACTTCCTTCATCCAATTCACAGTATGTGTTTTTACAGTGATGCTACCAGAACAGAACTCTACGCCAGAAGCAGATAACCAAGTAAATATTAACATCCGAAAAAGAGAGATAAAATCCAGCTCGCTGTCGTCTTAAATACTTCTCATTTTATTTATTCCAGAACATCATACCAAAGCAGTCTGATTCTGAACTTCATGGAACAGGAACATGTTTTTTTGGTTTTGTTTTTTCTTCCAGTAAGCAACAAAGGCAAGAACAACTTGCTGGGGAAGAAAGCCACATTGCATAGGAACATCATGATCTCAGCGCGAGCTCAGCGCTGGGCCTTTCACTGATCTCTTCTGACATGGCCAAGCTTAAAGTTTCCAGGCCTTTCTCAGGAATGCAGGCAAAAAAGGACAATAAAATTACAATTGTTGTGCTTTTAAAGGGGAAAGAAAAGCAGCATTGGACAAACGCGCTTCCAGCACGTAACAAAAACAGTATTTTGAATTGCACGTGTCAATGCCGTCCCCTGACAAGACAGTGAGAAAATGGGTCTGTGGTTTTGGAGAAGAGTGTTTTTTTTATCATTTGGATGATTATTACCACTGTGTTTTTGACCTGAGAAATAGGGAAAGGTGCAAAGAGGTATTAAGAAATCACAGGCAGTACATTACTTAACAGTATTGAAACAAGACATTTTTGTGCTTCTTCCACGGATTTAGAACCCTTCTGGTTTGAGCTGACTACAGACAAACGCTGTGGAAAGTGAGCAGCAATGGTAACAGACTCAGTACAGACAGTAAATGGGTTTTATGGAAGGTTTTTTAACACAAGAAGCTCTGCTGTGTTCCAGCACACCGACTGGCAGTGCAGGTTAAGGGAAGCCCTTCCCTGAGAGCTGCCCCACTGCAGGATGATGGTCTGTACGGGGCACTAATGGGGACTTCTCAGCAATACTTCCCGTGCACGAGCTGCTCTCACATCAGACTGAGTATTTCACATTAACTAGAGGCTACCATCTTTAGTGCAGAACAGCTTCAGTTTATTTCAAAGTTAACAAAATAGATTTTTTTTCTTCGCATCATTAGCCCTTATAGATACCGTATTTCAAAAGTAATTTTAAAATGAGAGATAGAAATAGTTTGTTTTATTCTTTAAATGATTAATAGGTCAGTTCTGATGCCTTCTTGTTATAACCACTCTGTTCGGAAAGTGCTGGGGCTCTGAAAGGGAAGTTTTTGTCGCTTACTGTCAGAACAAGTTCCAGTTCTTGGAAATCCTGTAGCCTTGCCACATCTTTGTCCTTTGAATAAATACAGTAAGTTTTATTAGCTGATGAACCACATGTTCCATTTTGCAGTGGTACACTAAAATAATAGGCTTATAGTACAACAAAGCATGTATTTATCCATATAAGTGACAGTTCTTTAAACTGGAAAGCAGAGCTCCTGCTGCATCTTAGCTTTTCCTGGCATCTTACGCAGCTACTTTTGAGAAGGACCGCAATGCTGGTGCTGAGCACAAGCGATGAGTGGAATTACACCTGTACATGTCTGCTCTGTGCTTTCTTCCTTTAGTACACTGTTCTGAGCTGCACCCCAGCCACCACACTTCCCCCTTCTGGTCATTCTTCATGAATCACTGCACTGCTGGGAGCTGGCTGGGGCTGTGCTCAGGAGCTGGCTGGGAGCTGCGTGGGGCTGAGGGACGGCAGTGTCCCACAGCTCAGGCTGCACATGCTGCTCCAGCAGCAGCGTCCAGGCAGCTGCCAGTCCAGGCAGCGTCCTGCGGTCCCACCAGGGCGGTCTGGAGTACGGACTGGACAGACTCCCTTCAGCAGCAGCCTAAGTCAGCAAGTGGCAGGACTGCTTTTGTCTTTTTTTGGCTTTTTTTTTTGTCTAACAAGGACTAAATCACTTTATACTCAGAGAAGATGCAGCATGCTGACCTCTGCAGTGCAGTGCCCATCAGTGCCCTGCCGCTATTGCCCACAGTGCTCTACCAGCACATGAGAGCCAAAGAGGCCAAGGGTTCTCAGCAGAGCTGTGCAGTGGGTCCCTTCTGCGTGGCCTGTGTCACCAAAGCTAAAAGACAGCCCTGTGCACAGGGCCACACTCAGACCCTCTCTCAACACTGCAAGTCCATGCAGAACTGCACCAACCCAGCACAGTGCTGCAGGGCACTGCTGGTGCAACAAGAGCTGAGCGATCAACAGCAGCATCAGCCCCTGCTCAGTGCCTTCTGCAAGCACCGCAGTGACACTGTGGGACTGCGGTCAGAACGTCACACGTCTGACACAACCTGCAACACCACCATGGTGCTGGGTGAGGGCACGGCTCAGGGACAGCTCAGCATCACAGTGCCAACCAACAGCGGAGCTCATCCTCCTCGCCTTTCCCTCTATGACAGCAGGCATTGCCCAAAGCAAACACTGTCATCTTTCTGGGACGCAGACGCAGTGCAGGTGATAAATGAATGAGTACTTTTTAATGATAACCCAAATAGTTTTTAAAATATATGCTACTGCATTCAGAATGAAGAGTTCTTACCTTTCTCAGCATTGTGTTTGGTAATTTTCTGATCTTCTGTACATGTTCAGGGTTAACACCCAGCTCACGGCAACTCACTCGGAGCAGTTCCTTATAGGTCAGCTCTTGTCTGTCCAGCTCAATTTCAATGAAGTCATTTTCTTTAAGACTAGGGTTTTGTATTCTAACTTTAAGCACCAGTTCTATTCAAAATAAAAGGGTACATTCACAGGTAGATGTGTAAAACAATTAGAAAACACCATACTATGTATTTCTACATTCTATCAGCCAGTCTTATCACCTGTAACAACACGAGAAGCCCCCACACCAGCAGCTGGGCAGCTGGCTGGTATTTGCCCACAGAAGGGCCACCCACCTCAGCTCCCAGCTGCTCCTGCAGACGGAGCCAGCCGAGCTTCTCTCTTGGGCTCTTCAGTTGAAGGAGATGCCACTTAGAGAACAGAGGTACCCCACTTTCCCTGTGCTTTTACAGTGTTTGAGACAAACTGCGAATGTTTGCACCGATATTTTAATAGCGGTTCCAGCAAGAACAGCACTGCCTTTTATACTGCCTCCAAACAATTCCCCGGAGCCTAACGCGCAAGAACCCGGACAGCTGCAGGAGCACTGAATAAACGTCACAGCAACTCCTCCACTTGCACCATCCAAGGTGACAAAACCCGAGGAGAGGTGAGGAGAAACGCTTTTGCCGTTACCTTGCATATTAAGTGGAAAAGCTCCTGTGAAGAACACGGGCTGGAAGGTCGGCACGGGCCCCGTGCAGGAGCCGCTGCCCAGCGGAGCTCCAGGCTGCTGAGGTCCGGCGGGGGAAGGAGGAGCTGCGCCCCACGGCGCCTGGAGCAGCGCGCTCTGAGCTGCGGCCCCGGAGCACCGCAACCCGGCGCACACAGCGGGAGCCGCGTCCTCACAGCGCACCGACGGCCGCACGCACCGCTGTGCAGAGGGCGGCAGGGAGGAGGCAGAGCTCTGCCGTTCCCCGTGGGACGCGCTGCCGTTGGCAGGGGGCTCCGGGAGGCTGCTGCTCATGGAGTTGTAAATGTACGGGAAAGGTGGGTTAGCCAGGTAGTTAGGGATGATGGGCAGCTCCGAATTGGTTGCTACGTCTGGGAGTTCGTCCTCTTCCACTGTAAAACAAACAACAAGAAGTGCTGCTATTGCACTGTGGGATTTTATGTGCATTTTTTGTATGCGTGGTGCTTGTGGGGTAAAAGGAGGGGTAAAAGCACCACAGGACGGGAGGTGAATTAAGGAGCTCTGCACCGCCTCTCTACAGCAAAGGAATTGTTCTCAGGTGTTGAAATACAGCGAATGCAAAAGCAGAATCTGATCCAAACAGTGCTGGGAGCACCGTTCCCTTCTGAATACTGCCATCCTTCTTTCTTTTTCACTTGATTTTTATATTCCTTTTCTAATCCGTAATTGGCACATCGTGGCACGGTCTCTGGTGGCACAATGCCATCATCTTCATAATGCAAAAGGCAATGAAACACAAAGGGTGCTTGATGTTGAGGCAGGTGTTAAAGGGAAAAGCAGGCACAATGCTGAACTGAAACACGACCAGCTCAGCAGCTGGGAGAAAATCATGAAAACAAAAAGAAATACAAAGGGGAGGAGAAAGGCTGTTAATTAACCACAGTTCAAATTACTTCATCACCTGTTGCAGCAAGGCCTGCCCCACTCCAGCCATTATGAAACACAACAGAAATGCTCCAGCAATGCACTTAATGAGCTGCTTCTCTGGGTGCTGATTTGAAAATTATTCAAGACAATGTCTGAACTTCAGAGAACAACAGGAAAATTAGTTGTTGTTCATGCACCGTGACGTTTCATACAAATTGGAAATATCTTCCCCTGTTCACCTTCGGAAAATCAGGATCTGTGTCTGTGTGACTGGTTGAATCACAGCATTTTTTAACACACAGCTTTTCCAGTTTTTGAGGAAAATCCCAACAACTTGGTGAGCTGGGTGTGGAAATTGTCGGTAATCTCTTCTGAACTCTAATTTCTCACTAAGCAGAGAGTACAGACTTTGATTTCTCACCAAGCAAGCAGCACAGACGCCAAGCCCTGTACTGCAAGCATGTAACACCGCATCACAGCACACACAGCAAGGCTGGAAACAAGAGCCTCCGCCCGCCTTCCCCGCACACAGCAGCACAGTTACCTCCCAGCATCCTGCGGATCTCCTTGTGGGACGTCAGCTGGGCCGGCCGCTCCCCCTTCCTGCTGAGGATCTCCTTATCTGCTCCGCAGAGCAGCAGCTGGGCCACCACAGCCGCGTGGTTCCGCTTGCAGGCCCAGTGCAGGCACGTCCTGCGCACCGAACATGGGAACAAAGCTTGACTTAATTACTGCAATCCCCCGCTTGTTCTCACTGAATATAAGACGACCTAATGCACGTCTAACATAGAAGAAGTTTTTAGCAGCAATGCCCCTTGCAGAAGTGCGCTGCTTCTGGAGTCCGCAGTGACACCTGCTGATGCAGTTTTCCCTTCCCTTGCGATCTTAAGGCGAGGTACCACAGCAGCATCAGCAGGGTTGGTTTCAGATGCTCATTTATTGGGATATTTTTGAGGAAAGTAGATATGACTTACGTATGTATTTTTCAATCTCTAACCGAGCAAGTTGCATACTGGCATGTGTGAGCTAAGAACGCGCTCCCGAGGGCGCTATTTTTAGTCTTTAATTAACGCTTTTTGGGTTTTTGATTAATCCAATCAGTTCACCGAGCTGAGCTCTTCCAGAAGCACATCCGTATCCCCGCCCCGTGCCGGGGGCACAGCGCTCAGCACGCACTCAGCGGAGAGCACGGCCATCGCTCTCCCGTTTCTCCCGCTTCGTGCGGCCGCTCGCCCCCAGAACGTCCCCACAAGGGCCGCTTCGGAACGGCGGTTCGGACGGGGCCGCCCGGAGCATCGCTGCGCGCTCCGCCGTTCCGCTCGTCCCTACCGGGGAAGCTCCCGGCAACAACGAGCGCGGGGTCGCATCGCTCCCCCCGCCCTCCCCCCGCGTGGCCGCGCACAGCCGTGCCGCCGTGCGGAGCTCCGGCCCGCTGGGTGCCGCCGCCCGCAGAACGCCGCTCCGCCGCCCCGCCCCGCGGCTCTCACCACCCGTTGACTTCGTTCTGCGCGTTGGGGCTGACGCCGAGCGCCAGCAGCCGCCGCACCTCCTCGGCGTCCCCCAGCGCCGCCGCCTCCCGCAGCCGCTCCTGCAGCTCCTTCGCCTCCATTCCCGCGGCCGGGCTGGGAGCGCCGCCGGGCCGCGACGGGGGGACGCAATTCTGTGTGGCAACGCCGAGCGGGAGCTTTGGTTCCTACCGGCAGCGCCGCGTGCGGCCGGCCCGGCTCCGACTGCGGTTTGCGCTCAGGCCGCTGCCGCTCCGTCGCCCGCATCCCCTCGCTTCTGAGCGCCGCGCCGCGCCGCTCCGCCGCCATCGGCACGGCTGGCTTTGCAAAGGCGCCTTCCTGCGCTGCTCGGTTTGTCCGAGCGGAGTTCGGGAGAGAAGAGAGGGGTGAGAAAAAAAGAGCGCAAATCCCCCGAGCACCGCATCGCCAGGCGGGAACGGAGCCGGGCGGCCGAGAACGGTGAAAAGGAGGAGCCGCGGCTCGGAGTCACAGCCCGGGATGAGACCCCGCGGGGCCGGGCGGGGCAGCCCGAGGGCGGAGCTGCAGAGACGTCAAAACACAAAACAAAACCCGCGCCCCGCCAGGAGGAGCGCCGAGGCCGGGTGCCGTTCAGCCTAGAATCCCGCCGCCCCGCCCCGCGCGGTGCATTGTGGGCCGGGCGAGCAGCGCAGCCGCCATTTTGTCTGTGTCAGTTCGGCGCGGCGCGGGCGGTCGGGGCGCGGGGCCTCGAAGTGCCGGACGAGATGATTTCGGCCGCGCAGCTCCTCGATGAGCTCATGGGCCGGGACAGGAACCTGGCGCCGGACGAGAAGCGCAGCAACGTGCGGTGGGACCACGAGAGCGTGAGTGCGGCGGGGCCGCCTCCGCCCTCCTCCTTCCCCTCCCCCCAGGGCCGGGCCCGGTCGGAGCGGCGCGGCGGGCGGGGCGTCCCCGCTCCGTGCGGGGGGAGCAGCCCGCGCCGAGGGGTCGAGAGCCGGAACCGGAGATCCGGGCGGGGCGCGGGGAGGCCGCGGCTCGGGCGGGAGTCCTGCGCGCGGCGCCGTTAAGCGGAAGCGGGGCGGCCGTTGGGCCCGGCGGGGCGGCGGCGCGGCCACAGGCCGGCAGGGCGGCGCTCAGAGAGCGGAGCGGAGCGGGGCTCCCTTTGTTGGCACCGCGGGGCTCCGGGGCAGAGTGCGGCCGTCCCTCGGCTTTCCTGCAATAAACGACGCCGATAAGGCTTGTCGCGCGCTCCGGGGAACGCTTTCCGCGGTAGAGCCGATCGTTAGCGAATGGTGGCTTTTGCTGCCGTCCGTCCTAGCGGTATTGCCGAGTGATTTCCATAAAGAACAACTAAAACTGAAGCCTGGCAGTGATGACAGAGCTCCTGGAGGCATTTCTCTGGCAGAGATGGGACCTGTCGAAATACAGCTTTATTTCTCCTTTGCAGTGCAGTTCTGAGCTACGATGCGTGCTTTAAAGGAACTGCCACAGTTAGGATGTAATTCCTGACATGTGTTTGGTGTCCCTGTGGGTCAAACTGCAGAACACAAACAGTTGTGCTCTATGGGGCTCCTCCCAGCTCAGAGCTTTCTCTGTACAGATTTAAGTTGGGAGAAGTGCTCCACTGCTGTCCTCAGCTGTATCTGAGAGGCAGAGGCTGGAATGTGCTGTTTTTCACCCAGATGTGTGTTGCTGAAGGTTGGTGGGTGTGCGTTCCTCCCAGTCTGTGAGATAAGGGCCTTTGCTGTGTGCCTTAGGCTGCCCGATCCCAGCAGCTTGTTGGTTTTTAATTTCTGCTGCATGGATAAGTTGTGCGTGTCAGGAAGGGAGCTGTTAGTTGAGGAAGTATTCACAGCATTCTTGAAGTCCTTCTGCGCTTCTTAACCAAACATCGTTGTTCAGTTGAGTGTTCAGTTATGTGTTTTCTTTTGATTCTGGACCCAAAATAAAAAGGGGATGTTCAGCCCTGGAAATACCGAGCAGATGGCCTGAGCCACGTGGGCCCAACTAGAGTAGTGAAGGGGATGGTTTTGGTTCATTTCTGAAGGTGAGGAACACTTTGTGTTGTCTTTAGTCAGGTTAAGATGACTTTGTCTGTAAAAGAGAAACTTATTTTTTTCAACTTTAGGCTGAAGAGGTTGACTGTAATGATAGGAACCTCTTTAAGATGCCATTCAGCTGTTTGCATGTGCTCTCCAGAAACAGGGCTGCCTCCCTTCTTCAGTGCTGGATCCCTCCCTTGTCCCCTCTGTGAGGTGCAGCCTCCATCCCTGTGGGAGCTGCTGCTTTGTTTGCACACTCCTCCCCTTACTGATGAGATTCATGGGGCCACCACTGAAGCAGTGTTTTTATGGGTGCTGTAGTCAGTTGACAGGTTTGTAGCAGATATTTGCTGGTGTTAAAATATAAAGATAAATTTCACTTTAATTCCTTGCATCCCAGAGAGATTAAACTTGTAATGCTGACATGTTTTGAAAGTCAGCAAGTGCAAGTAGGATTCAGAGAGCGGCACGCATTGATCTGCTTGAGTGCTGCTCTGTGTACATGTTAGGATCCTCCCTGGTCAAACTGCACAGCTGTCAACAGGTCACCTGTGTGCTGTCAGCATCTTGTGCTCTCATACCAAAACTTAGAGTTTGTGTCATGTTTTCAGTTAGGGAAAGTTACCAGAAGGAGCTCATCTCTGTTTCCTTCATCATTTGTAGGTTACACGTGAGCAGATACAGAGATGTGAGGAAGATGCAGTGAAGTACAGGATGGGAACGGGTTGTGTGGAAGCCCCTGAAGCGCAGTGATAGCTGAGTGTTTGTTTGCAGTATTAACAGATCGTGTTTCTCATTACAAAACCTGTTGTAGAGCTTATGTTCTTACTTTGAGACTTTCCAGCAGCTGTATGTTTCAGGAGTGCTGGGTGTCCTTGGGTAATCAGTTCTACATCTGGCATAAAGGCATTCTGTTTGGGTCAGCAGGAGCTCGCCAGCACTGCATGCTGTTGTCTTGCTGCCTGTTGCAGTGCCCATAGGTGAGGTTTGCTCCTGGAGCAGCGGCTAAAAAGCTTCCTCAGTTCGAGTGTTCTTATGTGTACTGGTGCTGTGGGAGCACTGGTGGTGTGAAGCATCTCCTGTGCTGCCTTGTGATGTCCTGCAGGAAGCACTGTGTGTCAGGAGGTGGGGGGCAGGTGGCTGGGAGCAGTTATCCCTGATAGGAGCGGTATCTCAAGGAATAGGTGCTGTATTTAAAATGCTGTTTGACCCTACTACCTGTTTGCAGTCTGTTACGTGTTTGTTTTTTTTTTAATGCCAGAACATGTAAGTTGTTTTGCATGGAGGTAGAATCTCTCATTCCTCTTTTTTTGTTTTTTGTTTTTATTGGCTCGTTTTTGTTTTCGTTTGTTGGCTTTGGAAATTGGCTGAAGTGTCACTTGTTAATTGTTTGCTCAGGTACTGTGCAGTACTGTTGCTTTTCTTCCATTCCTCAAATAGGGCTATGGTTATAGACATTTTTACTGACTGTTTTATTTGGTGCCCCAGTGGCCTAAGGTAATGACAGGAGAGGTGTTCAGGTTGGGTAACAGTGGGTATTTTCATGGCTGTTTTCATGTTGTGGGAGGCTGGGCTGGGCTGGGCTGCAGGCAGGGCAGCACTTGGTGCAGTTCTGACCTCCACAACCAGATTTGCAGTCTGTGGTTAGTGTGGAAAAAGAGAGAGGGCTGAGCTGATGGGGACAGCTGCTGGCCCTGGTGATACAGAGAGGTGGCTGCTGAGGGCAGGTTTTGGTGTTCTCTATTCACCCCCATTTGTTAAAATCCTTCCAAATGTATTTTAAGGAGTACAGTGTCGCTGCTCTGTGTCCAGCATGTGTGAGTGAGCGCTGGATCAGACTGTGATGTACCACCTCAGTGATGGCTTCCCTTGGTGTGAAATGTTTAGCATTAAGGGGTACCACCAGCACAATGGGAAGCAGGCGTTTTGGGGGCGTGTTGTCGTTAACTGTGGTTGTAGTGTTTGCTGCCACCACGTAAAGCAAAGGTAGGGCTGGATGTGGGTGAAACTTGGAGAAACATTGCAGACTGTACTAAAGGGGAGTTTTACTTTGTAGCTTAGAAAATAGAAATAATTACCAAATGTCATCAATTCGCGAGGAAAAAGAAATGCTGCTTGTTTTTCTCTCACCTGACAGGTTTGTAAGTACTACCTTTGTGGCTTTTGCCCTGCTGAATTATTCACAAACACCCGCTCTGATTTAGGTAAGCACCCATGTTGTTTTGTTGCCATTTGGACTTGTTGCCATTTGTAAACAGCTTTACTGTCAAAAATGGTCATTTTGGAAATGACCATTCTTAGAGTTGTCAGTGGCACCATTTATTAACAATACTTATTCCAAATCCTGCTTCTAAGTGGGGAATTTAATGATTTTAATTTTACGGTGTGAATTTAATAATCAGAGGTGGAGTTGCTCCATTCCTTTACAAGTGTTGTCTTTTACTTGGATTCAAGCTGTCTGGGCAGCGTTTGAACTTAATGTTTTCAAGCTTACATAACCTAAGAGAAAACCCACTGAGGAAGGAGGGAGAATTTGCCTGTGGCTGTGCTTCGTGGTCACAGATCTCCTAATTCTACTCTAACGATAAATATTTTAATTGGTCTTTATTTTAAAGAACAATGCCTGAAGTTTAAGGAAGTGCTTTGATTACATTTAATATCTCATTTTACCTTTTTTTAAACTGTATTAAGGCTACACTACTTATTATTTTGTGTAGTTTTACTGATGTAGAAAAGTCTGGTAATTATCTTCTATGTGAAAACTTTACACATCATTCAGAATTTCCTTTGGTTTTCTGACACGGAGCCACATTGGCATTCTTCCTGAAATGTTTCTTTCAAACTCCAAGCAAAAGAAGCAGAAAGGTGTTCTGTATAGATGTGCAAACAAATTCTGATAATGTGTTTACAGCATTCAAGAATGCAAGCTTAAAATTTATATGTGGTCTTTTTAGGTCCTTGTGAAAAAATTCATGATGAAAATCTACGTAAACAGTAAGTATGTTGTCACTGTGTTAATGCACAGTGCTTCCAGTGTGCTTGAACTGTCCTATAAACAGGCTCTCCATGAAAAACTGACTTCTTAC